CACAGGTTCCAGCTCCAGACAGCAAGCCTCTGGAGCCTGAGCCCAAATCTGAAGTGCCAAAGGAGGAACCTCAGCCCCCCGAGCTTCCTCCAGCAACAGAGAGTGTCCCTCTGGCTCTTGAACAGAAGAAAGAGGAGCCTCCTGTTGCAAGGTGAAGTTGCATATTATTATAAAGGGAAAATGACAAAATGACATATGTAGTTATGTATAGATGTACTTCAAGTTGCTATGACCTACACATGAAAACACCAGTAAAGGGACAAGGACGGTAAAGAATCTCAGCCTGTCCAGATAAAGCAGCGTGATTTTAATAAAACAGCCAATGAAGATCTAATGTTGTTTCCTGTGCGTTGTGTGTTGTAGTGCAGTCGAGGGGTCACTACTGTTTACTGACACCAACTCAGTATGTGTGGTCTCAGCTCCAAAGACACTTCCCTTTACATCCAATTTCACTAAAATTACTTACCAGCAAGTATTAGCCTAAACAACACCTGCACAAAATAATTAATTTTAAAGTTAACACTAACCAACCACTTACTGTATGGAGATAAAATCACTTAAAATAATGTATTCACATACCAGGAAAAGGGTATTTTTAGAGAGACACACACTTTTATTCACAGACAAAAACAATAATAATAATAATTTTGTATTAAAGCCTATATACCAATCAACATGCTTGTGGTTGATTGGTCGTCTCTGAGACCAGTTTTACCATATACATTTCACCTTGAAAATCAATGTGTTTTTTATGTGATTCATTTTAGCATCTTTGCTACTACATTACATATCACTGCGTATATAAAAGTTCTGAAAGCTAGACTTCTTTCTCAAACCATATTTCAGCTTCCCAAAAAGGGAAATCATGGAGCCCGGTCCTGCCAGAGCTAAAGCCAACTGGCTTCGACTTTTCAGCAGAGTACGACTACAACTACAAGAGGTACTGCCAGGATGTGTCTATGTGTGTTCAGTTTATTTGTATGGTCCTCTTGCTTGCAGTCACTGTCAGGTGAATCCCTTCATTGGCAGGAACGGATCTTAGAGTGCGGTTCTGTTGCTGCTCTGCTGATTGCCTTGTTGCATCAATCCCTGCATGTCCTGTTCTTACTCTGTATTTTTCCAGCTTTCGTCGACTAGTCTGTCATTTTTCCCAGTTTTTGGTCGCAGCTGTGGATTATATTGTCTCGTGTTTGATCGTTTCTGTTTACCCCCTGTATTGTTTTTGCCATTTCATTATTTTCTTTTCAGTTGTTTGCCATCCTCGTAGCGAATGCATGTAGTCCATTCTGATTACCCATGGCAGGAGCTGGCTCTCAGGTGGGTGTGCCCTGTAGTGTGTTAATAAATCTAATTTGTATCGTATGTATTTGTATGGCTCACAGATATTTATGATGAGCGCAAGACGCACATAGGAAGCTGTTGCAAGTCTGTTAAGCGTCCTTTCCAAAGCCTGGTGTTTGTATCAATCAGGGCTATTTCTGTGTATAGTGTGACGTTAGTATCAGTGCCGCATGTCATTGTTTGAAGAGGCAAGCGGACAAAGAACATGTCTTTCAATAATGGAGCAGATAAAATTAGAGAAATGATTACACGGATAGCCATCTGGCTGTAATCTTCTTCCACAAACACAGAACTCACTGTTGATGTCAATAATCCCCACACTCACTAAGAAATACACACAGTGTAGTTTTTTTTCACTCTGTTGTAAATCATGACTTTGAGAACACCTGCAGTCATTGTGGTGACAGCTCACGTTTGAGCGAACTACAAACTACAATTGGAACTACAGCGTTGTAGTTTTCTGGAAGGCTGCCTTTTCCTGGTTTTTCCATCTCATCTTTTCCTTCTCTTTCTCCACAGGCCCGAGGAGAAAGTGTTGGCATTGCCTCTCTGCTTTTGTCAGCAGGGTAAGTAACCATGAGGCTGACACCGCTCCAGCTATTGAAAATCTATAACTTACCGACCAAAAGGAAAGACCAGTGTCTCAGTGCATTTATTTTGTAACTTATTCACGGTGAAGGTTCTAGCTGCCAGCTGTTAGCTGAAAATATAGCCGATGTTCAAAGTATGTTTTCTCTCCAGGATGGGTGGTGCTCTGTATAGTATTGACAGCATGCCAGACCTCAGGAAGAGAAAAGCAATGCCTCTGGTCAGCGATCTGGTGAGTTTCTGCACTAATCTCTTTATGTTCCCGTGACTGTCTCACATTTCCCAGATCCATCTCACTTGGCTCAGCAGTCCGTGCTCTCATCCTTAAATGTTACTCCTGTTTTCTATCTGATTCTCTACTATGTTCATTTTCATAATCTTTTCTAACATTCTACTATTTTTACTCCTGTTGTTCTCTGTCCTTTACTCCACTGCATCCATGCTGTTAAAGAAAATGCATTGCCCTGCTGTTAAAGTCTGACAGGGCATGAAGCAAGGCAGAGAGGCCAGCGGCAGAGGCCAGAGGTTTTCTCTGACTGACGCTGATGCCTGCTACATGCTGTCATATAACAGACCTTTATTACCCCACCATGCCATGATCCCTATGCCTTTTTGACACTATCTCATTACCAACACAACTCTGACAGACATTAATCTTTTGCAGACTTCTATTGTCACTTTTCTTAGAATGTAGACAGACGCACTCTGTATCTCCGTGTCATTCTAAGGAATGTGCGAATCAAAGAAAACCACAAGCGTATTCAGGTTTTGAGAGCACATTGGTTGTCACAGTTTGGGTTTTTTTTATCATTTAATGATTATCACTCGCCTAATCCTAATTCACACAGAGCTAAAGACCAGTCGGTGACTATCTGGCAGTGTTGGGAAGATTACTTTTAAATCCACTACAGATTACAGAATACATTCCCCAAAATGTATTTTGTAACGTATTCCGTTACGTTACTCAATGAGAGTAACGTATTCTGAATACGTTGGATTACTTGATCTATTATCATGCTTTTTACAACTACATGAATGTACTATTGCTGTGTGATTTATTACTTTTACTGAAGGTTATTTGCTATAGCAATACCAACTAGATTTTTAAATCTTAATATAAAACGAGTAACAGTAAGGTGGATATTAGGTAAAGCTGCACTTTTTGCAGCGATCTCGTATATAAAACTATTCCGTGCGTATATAAAACAGGTCCGCAGCTCCAAACCATAGTAAAGGAACCTCTGGCTAATACGTCGGGTTCGTGTCGGGTTCGTAGCCGAAAACAAGCTTTACTTTGTTGTCTTGGTCAACTTTGCTAAAAACACGAACACAGTGTCGTAATAGCTTACTTACAACTGGGCTACGCTGCCCATGAGGCTACATTCTTTAGCGCTATGCCTGTAACACTCTGCCTATTTCCTTCATATTAAATCATTTTTTGAACAATAATTTAAAAAAATATTTTGTCACGTCATTATGTGGGCCGCAAGTAGAGGTGACATGAGCCGCGAGATTGAGACCCAGGAATTAGAGCCTCTTAATGCGTGTTTTGTTTGAGTTTTCGCCGGCGTGGAATTACCAAAAATAGAGAGGGGACAGCCTAACACAGGGGTAGGGAACTCCAGGCCTCGAGAGCCGGTGTCCTGCAGGTTTTAGGTGTCTCCTTGATCCAACACAGCTGATTTAAATGGCTAAATTAACTCCTCAACATGTCTTGATGTTCTCCAGAGGCCTGGTAATGAACTAATCATTTGATTCAGTTGTGGTGACCCAGGGTGAGATCTAAAACCTGCAGGACACCGGCTCTCGAGGACTAACATTCCCTATCCCTGGCCTAACATATGAAACAGGAAAAGACCACCGTGTAATCCAAAGTAACTGTATTCTGAATACCACCTTTTTAAACGGTAACAGTAACGGAATACAGTTACTCGTATTTTGTATTTTAAATACGTAACGCCAGTACATGCATTCCGTTACTCCCCAACACTGCTATCTGGTAACCACGTGTAACCAAGTGTTTGCTGGAGGTTGCTTCCTGGCACCAGGAAATGGTTGCATAGAGGGTGCTGCACCAAAAACCTCCCTCTGACTGCCACAGTCAGCAGTGGGTTGCATCAAAGATGCTGACTTGTCTGCAAATACTTGGCAACTACCAGCTGGGCAGTGTTAAAATTGCCCAGCTAGGGTGACGCTAGCTCGAAACAGAAAGCATTCGCCTTAAAATTTCTGCCTCAGTGCCGCAGTCACAATTCAAAAGGCACAACTTTCACGTTAAAAGTAAGCGGGTGACCGCAGTAATCTGTTAGCAATCATAAGCATGGTCAGAGACATTAGGATCAGTTTAAGCGATTCAGCATCGATAAACAAAATAAGTTACATAATGCACATGATACATGCACAGCTATAGTTACAACTTAATACCATATTACCAAATAAAAGCATCATAAAGCAACGTTGAAATGTGTCTGAAAAGCTGATCCTGCTGTTCTTAAATAAACCAGCTTAACTTTGCTTGTCATAAAGACTAAAAGTTAAGGCCTGACTAACCCTGTTAGGAGTTTCAACTGGTGGTTTCACACTTTGGTTTGACAACTTAAGCATAACATGCTATTGATAGCTATAGATATGCTGGTTTGTCACCTCTTGACAGATCCATGCTAGCTGCTGTCTATAGCTTTTGTTTTCACAGCACAAGAGTGGTTACGTCTTCTCATCTAACTCACAGCAGGAAAGCCAATAAGCATATTTAGCATATGATATGTCAAATAGTTGCTTTGATGCCAAATCACATTGTGCACTGGGAGCTGAAATAATGCCGACTCTTAAATCAGCTGCCAGTCAAAGCTCAGTGCCACGCTCATAAACACCCACCATGCACTGACAGGCAGGTGCACCTCTTTCATCAATCTCATTTACACACACTACACACACACACACACACACAAACAACTTGTCAGACTGTCTGCTATTGATTTATCACAGTGGAACACTGCCTGAATGAGCAGTAACTAGTATTTCATTCAGAAATCTAATATTCAGGTGGAAATGCAGCAGAGATTTTCTGAAAAATCCCAGTCTCCCTTGATTCCCTAATCGCTTCATTGTTGCTTTTTCACAAAACTACCACATATGCATAAAAAGTGCATCCATCAGTCATTCTTGCAATTTTAATTCTCTGTGTAAACCTCTTTCTCCTCTGTTGCCTTTTTCTAATACATTTCTACCTTTTTTCTCCCAACTTCACTTCACTGCTACAGGCTATGGTGAGTAGCGCACCTTTTGTTTATGAAGTATCTGCAGTTGGTTATGAAGATATACTCGTTTTCTGGTACCGACCAAAGGGGTCACTCCAAACAAAATATGCAGCTGTAATCTCCTACTCTGAGATTTATCATGATTAAAGAAGATATTATACTGACCACCCTTCTTCCATTACACAGTCCTTGGTTCAGAACTCCAGGAAGGCGGGCATCACCTCGGCCCTGACATCAAGTACCCTACATAATGAAGAACTGGTCAGTCCACATTTATATTCTTTAATTAAATTATTTCAAATTCTGCTCATAAGCTTTAACTCTGCTGACCTTGGGCTTATCTTTCTTACAACCTTGTAGAAGAGTCATGTCTATAAGAAGACCCTCCAGGCCCTCATATATCCTATTTCCTGCACCACCCCACACAACTTTGAGGTGTGGACAGCCACCACACCCACGTACTGCTATGAATGTGAGGGACTCCTCTGGGGTATTGCTCGCCAGGGCATGCGCTGTACTGAGTGTGGGGTGAAATGCCACGAGAAGTGCCAGGATCTACTCAACGCCGACTGTCTGCAAAGTAAGATGAACGCCGGGAGGCATCACTCCATTTCAGCCCCCAAAGCATTAATGAAGTGAAGTGACTAGTTTACAAACGTGACAATGAAATCTAAATTTAGCAGCCCATATGTGCAGTGGGTAAACACTCCCAGTCACTGCTGGTGCAAAAAGACGGTGTAAATTCAGATAAATACAACCAGTAACTCCGGTTGGCTTTTATAAATTATCATTTTTAATCGTTTCACTTTTTTTAAAGACATTATATATTTACGTTTTTTAATACTGGCAGGTTATCTTTTTTTCACTGGCCTTCCATCAGAGACCCGATGCTAACTTCAGCTATCAGTGAACAGAAAGGCTCAGATCAATTAGATGTTCAGCTGAATTTAGAAGAGGTAGAGTGGGTAATCCACTGTCTGGGAGGGCCACTGTTTGATTCCTTGGCTCTGAAGCGTCTTAACTAATTGCCCATATTGTCATAAATGCATCTGTCAGTGATATATGAAGTGTGTAAATGTGGTTTTAATGATTACAGACATGAGAGTGAGAAAGGATCGCAGAAATCGTTTTAGGCTTTTTGCGGTGTCAGTTCTTTTTATTTATTTTTATTAATAATAGAAAACGATGTAGTCCATTTATTTCCTCTCCTGTCTATTTGTCAATGCCAAGCACAGAGCCTTCCTCCCTCCTCCTTCTCTTCTTACTCCTACATTCCTATTTTCGTTGTTTTCATGAGAGGATATTACAAACCATTTGTCTTTTCTTGTCATCCGCCTCGCTCTCTTTCCATCTTTTTCACTCAGCATTTTATAGCTCTGCAAAAGCATCCTCTTATATTTCATGAAATACACCAAAGTTGTTATTATAGTGTTATGGTATTCATTCGAAATGGTCTGAGAAATTTATCCACCATGATTTCAGGATCAGTAAGCGTGAGCTCACTTCTCATCTCACATGGCACCTTTTTCCATTTTTGTTTACAAATCTAATTCTTTTACTTCTCAATTTTCTTGCCAACCAGGAGCGGCAGAGAAGAGCTCCAAGCACGGCGCCGAGGACCGGACTCAAAATATCATCATGGTTCTTAAGGATCGCATGAAGATCCGTGAGAGGAACAAACCAGAGATCTTTGAACTCATTCAGGAAGTGTTCACCGTCCCCAAGTCCACACATGTCACCCAGATGAAGCAGATCAAACAGAGCGTGCTCGATGGCACCTCTAAATGGTCGGCCAAGATCAGCATCACAGGTTTGTGTCTATAAAAAGAGACAAGCTGCTGTTTATATGCAGTGAACACAGGTGGCGTCTATGGGGCAGTAGCTCAGAAGGTCAGATGAATTAAGAGGCATCTGTTTCCATCCAAACACACACACACACACACGTATACATAAACCCATAAACCCACTGGCCTTACCAGCTTGGCTTTTTTTTCTTCTTCCTAGTGTTGTGTGCCCAGGGTCTACAAGCCAAGGATAAAACTGGTTCCAGTGATCCGTATGTAACTGTCCAGGTTGGAAAGACGAAAAAGAGGACCAAGACCATCTATGGCAACCTCAACCCTGTCTGGGAGGAGACATTTAATTTGTGAGTCATTGGCTTTTTTGTATGGTTACTATTAATTAACCACCTAAGACCCGAACTCTTTTAATTTCTCTTTGCTGTTTGGGCTGATTGGGACCTGATGACTGTAAAAACAAAGAATTCTGTGATTTTTTTTTTTTTACTTGATTTTTTGGTTCTGAGAAAAATGAGATCCACATATGAAGACTTTAGTTTTAAATTTCGATAGAGCAGTGGCAGTATAATGTCCTCGTAAGTGGATATCAGGCTCTTGTAGAGCAAAATTTTGTATTTTGGTCTAGACAACCCAAAATGTGATGTCCACATATGTGAACGCCAGATCCTAGGAGGTTAAATAAACAAGTTTTTTTTTTAAGGCTAGTGATTTCTGTTTACACTTGAAGAATGTACGAGTCACCCTAGTAATCTGCCCTTCTTGTCTAACTGCCAGTATACCTAGTATATTTGGCTCACTCTCCGGTTTGGTCTTTGCAGTGAATGTCACAACTCTTCAGACCGCATCAAGGTGCGAGTGTGGGATGAAGATGATGACATTAAGTCTCGTGTGAAGCAGAAGTTCAAACGAGAGTCCGACGACTTTCTCGGTCAAACCATCATCGAGGTCCGCACTCTGAGCGGAGAGATGGACGTCTGGTATAATCTGGGTCAGTTGAATTGGCACGACTCCTCTTTCTCCGTACACTGCCCCGTTTAATCTACTGGATCTCATCACCCATCATTTCTTTCCAAAGCAGACCTGGTGACTGTGTTTCTGTGTGTTTTGCGCTCTTCACAGACAAACGTACTGACAAATCCGCTGTGTCTGGGGCCATCCGCATGCACATAAGCGTAGAGATCAAAGGCGAGGAAACGGTTGCTCCGTATCACGTTCAGTACACCTGTCTGCACGAGGTAAACTCGCTTTTTATCTGTGAGTGAACATGCATTTAAAGACGGTGAATGCTTCTCAACCCGCTTTGTTTTTATAAGGGCGCATTTTGTCAGATTATCCTTTGTCCGCCGTTTGTGCATCTTAGACAAATATCGTTTTTTTCCACATAACGGGCTGCCTAAAAATGTCAACTAGTTTTTGCATGTAAGGCATGACGTTCACACTGAAAAAGACTGTTTTCTGCACATAGTCGTGTCTGCGGTGTAAAGAGACAGACTGCAGCAGTCGTTTAAATGCGAGTCAAAATGAACCGCTTCTCTTTATTTGCTATGTGCTGACTGAAACCGTTACGCTAGGTTTACAGGAATCTTTGACAAACAAAATTAGCTTTTGTTATAAGTGTGTAATATTGTTTTCGCGCCCTGCATTTATGAAAATGTGTGTGTGAAGCTGTCTTAAATGAGCCAAGCTAAACTAGTTAATTTGCTTGACTGATGTTCACTTTAATAACTGACCCATTAAACTCGAGTTAGTACTCTGGACAGATAAAGATAGAGGCATCACACACACGTTTCTGCTCTGGGTTCGTGCAGAAAATTCTGCTGATTGATTGTAGACCAGTCCCAACTTTGTATGGAGTCATTACTCAGTCCATTACTCACAGCACATTAGCTGACCTTAACTGACAAATGGGCACTGTTACTGCCTCTCAAGTGCCCATAAACCCACTCAGAATACTTTACAGTGGTGTAAGGTTTTATGGATGAGACAGCACCTTGTGTTGGCCTCATAATGTGGGTTTATGGCTCTTTATGCAGCAGAGCCAACAGACACAACAGCTTGTGAGGTTATAGCACGCTCTGTCTTAATGGCTGAACTGTTTACAAATGAGTGATAACTGTTTGAATAACCATTTGAATTTTTTCAAGCCTTTTTTCTCTTTTATTTGACTCACGCCGCCTTCTGCTTTCTTTTCCTTAGAATCTCTTCCATTATGTGACGGACATCCAGAATAATGGTGTGGTGAAGATTCCTGACGCCAAAGGGGATGATGCATGGAAAGTGTACTTTGAGGAAACTCCCCAGGAAATCGTAGATGAGTTTGCCATGCGTTATGGAGTCGAGTCCATCTACCAGGCTATGACGTAGGTTCCCGGCTGACTGCCCGACTCCAGAACGTCACCGTTTATAAGAAAGACCTATGTGTTCAGGCGCATCGCAGATTGTTTAGATAAAAAAAAAAAACAATATCTAACATTTGCCTGTCCTCCTCTCATTTGCAGCCATTTTGCCTGCTTGTCATCTAAGTACATGTGCCCAGGTGTGCCTGCAGTGATGAGTACCCTGCTGGCAAACATCAATGCCTACTACGCCCACACCACCCAGGCAACCAACAATGTCTCTGCCTCTGACCGCTTTGCTGCTTCTAATTTTGGGGTGAGTCAACATTTAGCTGGATCGATAAAGTTAGATGTCATACTTTTATTAATTAAATAGTATTATAAACTAATTTTCCCCTAACTATCGCAATAGCATAGTTTCTGTGTTATTTCCCTTTGTCATGTCCTCTTTATCTTCATTATGTTTAATCACAGAATCTATTAGCACGTTTCTTTTATTACCCACAGAAAGAGCGATTTGTCAAGCTCCTCGATCAGCTTCATAACTCTCTGAGGATCGACCTGTCCATGTACCGGGTAAGTTACTCTTATATAATTTCTTCTGGCTTATAACTAATGATTCTCTGCGTCCTTGCACGTCTCTCTTTATCAGAAGCAATTTGAGGAGGCAAATGTGTTAATTAGATTGACAGCTCATCGGAAACGTGCACAGACACGTTCGGGAAACCATGTACGCCCACACAGTCAGAACAGGGCTTACTGCCAGTAAAGATTGACCATGCTGGATCGTGCCCACAGATGCAAAAAACTGGACAAGCACAGATGTGAATTCATGTACTGTGGCTCGCCATTTCTGATTTCTTTCCTTTTTTTGGCCCGATTGCAGAACAACTTCCCAGCCAGCAGTCCTGAGAGACTGCAGGACCTCAAGTCCACAGTGGATCTGCTCACCAGTATAACCTTCTTCAGAATGAAGGTATAGTCTCTTTCTCTTCCACCATTTGTTCAGTCTTTTTTTCTTTCAGTGAACACAGCTATTAGACTGCCATCTTATTCACTGTATTGAAACATTAGATTTATCAACCTTTAAAATCAACAACTTCCAAAAAGATTTGACTCAGAAGAAAAGCAACACAATATTTTTATCCTAAAGCTTGGTGCTGAGTTGGATTTAAGGCTTTTCTTCAGACGCAGAAATGGAGAGAATTCTGCAAACCAACTCGGCTTTCTTCACATCGTCTATTTAAGCTGCAGAATATCCCATTTTTTCCCCCTGACGTGTCAGTACTGCTGCCCTGCATCACTGCCTGATCTTTCAACTCTCCCACCTCCCACATGAAGGCTCCAGGGAGATTTTTATTTTCACTACTCCAGTCTTCTATGTTGCATATTTGGGAGAGCACTGTTGCCAAACTTGAACTATATTCTGCAGCTGTAATAAATTCATAATTTCAAATGTGAGCTCAAATGAATGATCCAGTCACTGCATGTCTGATTTTTGTGCCTGCGTTTAGGTCCAAGAGCTCCAGTCGCCACCCAGAGCCAGTCAGGTAGTGAAGGACTGTGTCAAAGCCTGTCTCAACTCCACCTATGAATACATCTTTAATAACTGCCATGAGCTGTACAGTCGCGAGTATCAGGCAGACCCGGTAAGAAGCAGCAGTGGTGGGCTGAATGTCTGCGTGTGTGTGTGTCGGTGAATGTTTTTCTTTTTCCGTCTTTGTCAAAAAAAATCAACTTTGAATTGATGTTTTTTGGCATAAACATAATAAAGTACAAAAAAGTAAAGCCTTGTTAGCACACCATACATGTGTACATGTACTGGACTTCAGAACATACAGAATCAAACAGTTAGAAAAGTGCAGATGTTCAGGTGTGATGGTGATGGTATCTGCATTTGTTCATTTTTTATTTACTTAAAGGTACATCAACAGTCTTTGAGTTTAATCTTTGTTAAAAATTGTCATTGTTACATCTGCTTACAGCAAATTATAGAAAAAAAGTGCTAAATTATGATTTGTTTATTTGGTTTATTTGTTTAGTCCATTTTTTCCTTGGTTCATGTTTGGTTTTGGACAAACTTGATCTGTTTTTAGTTGATATCGTTCTGAGCTTCTGGTTGTTACCAATCAAAACACATAAACTTGGTATATTTCATTCAGTGGCAAAAGGCATTGAAGTTTACTTTGGAATTTTTGCTGTAGATTTCCTGTGACTGATGATCGTTTTGCTTACATTTAACTTCTGTCCGGTTCAGTTTCCCTTAAGCAAAATGCCGGGAATAATGACAGCCCAACCACAATCTCAGCGCCTTCACACCTGCACCATTAAGTCCGCTTAAATTGAATTCTGGTTCATTTTCCGTCTTGGTGCGGTTCGCTTCTGCAGACACGAGCAGGGTAATTGCACTTGCAGTGAATCTACCACAGACACATTCGAGGAGGCGGTCTCGATCCAGTTCCAAATGAACTTCAGACTTATTCGTTTATGGTGGGAACATGATCTGACCCAACCACTGAATGTATGCTGGGCGTTTGCCTTCTGATAGCCAGGCATGCTTTGCTTCCTGGGATGTAGCAGAGTACCATAAGCCTGCAGAGTACACAAACTTTAAAGAATTGGAAGAAGTGACATTGCAAAGTTATCCTGTAGCTCAGAATACTGCGTCTTCTACCTGCTTTTGCTATTGTTCCTCTTGCACATCTGGCCAACAAGCAGACTGAACTTTCTCATGCGGTTTGTATCGACACGTTTTGCTTCGCTTGGAGTTTTCTTTGTGTGAAAACAAAGTAAAATCTAACCAGGGAAAAAAGCTTAAAGTTTTAGAAACTCATCAGCTGATTGAATTACAGGTGAAAGTACAACTTTAGTGATCACAATCAGCAGTTTTACCCAGAAGTCATCACTACAAAGAGAATAATATTTACATTTTTACATTTCTAATACAAAAAGGATTTCAGTTTTGTCCTCATTCCATATGTAGACACTTGTGTGTATGTTGTAGGTTTGTATGTGTGTGTGCGCGGTAAGTCCGTGTCTTAGTCTGGTGAAGCCAGGCTCTTCCATCCGTCACTCCTGTAGCCGATTCCAACAGCGATTTCTAGAACTTGCTTTGAGCCCTCATTAAAGCACCAAGCCCAATTCTGACTTCCCCGTGAATTTCAAATAAGCATTTTTTCTCTTTGAATAAAACATTTCGTCCTGAGGGACTTTGCTATATTTTGTTGAAATCTCTGCAAGATCATTCTTCACTCTTCAAACCCTGCAGCAGCCAGCTTAGTGTTTTGTTTTGTTTTTCTCAGCACATCTTCAGCTGTTTCAAAGAAGTCGACCAGACAGTTGACATTCGCAGTCTGTTTAAAGCTGTTTGAGCAGCAAGTGTTTAATATGTATGAGTTGTTGAGTTAACAACGCAGTCGAGATTTCCCTCCAAAAACGTCTCCCCGTTGCAGACGACAGAAATATTATTGGTAAAATTCACATTAAGATTACACAATTACGCGACTCTGAACATCCTGTTGTACGGCTTTAAAAACCGTTTCACTGATCAAAATTCACTTATGTGCAGATTTTTCAGCCAAAAGGGGCAATAATAGCAGGTAAACCTCAGAAAGCCATTGTCATGAGTCATTATAACGCCACTCATGTTGTTGCTTTCCCAGGCCAAGCAGGGTGCTGTGCCCCCAGAGGAGCAAGGACCCAGCATCAAAAACCTCGACTTCTGGTCCAAGTTTATCACACTTATCGTCTCAATCATTGAGGAAGACAAGAACTCTTACACTCCTTGCCTAAATCAGTATGTCTCTAAGTTTTCTACACGGCCGTTCCAACTTTGTATTTGCTTTGTTTCCTTGTACAAATTAAAACAGAAAGGGTTTAATGACATTTTAATGTTATGTAGTTATCCACAGTTTCTCATAGTGCCATTAAAACTACACTCTGAGGCTCTCATCAGCTTACATGTTCTCCTTCTGCATCCAGATTCCCTCAGGAGCTCAATGTGGGTAAAATCAGCGCGGAAGTTATGTGGAACTTATTTGCTCAGGATATGAAGTATGCAATGGAAGGTGAGTAAAAAACGATAACACGGTTAGTATTGTGCTGTAGTCTTAAAAGTAGCGAGCATACAAGAACACAGAAAAGAAAAGAATCCAGTTAATATTCAGAGAATTTAATTAAACGTCTGTGCTTTTGTTTAACTATCTGCTGCTGGTAGTTCAGCACACTGGCTACTGGCACTAGCTGGACTCCCACTCAGTATATACAAATGGATATTAAAAAGCCACCTATTATATTAAACTCTCTTGAATGTTACAGTCATACAAACACTATACGCAAGTTTTGTTTTTGTATTAGCAATAAAATGATCCAGTTATTCCACTCGTGGCTATCTACATCAAAAAACCATTTTAATCATTAAAACACATACGCACACACACACACACACACACACACTGAATGTGTGCTCCATGACAAGCAGCTGTTCTTGCTGACTAACTGCCTGCCTGATTTAAATCTTCCAGTACCGCCGCTGAGAGCAAACATCTCCTTTTTTCAAACAATGAAGCAAAATATTTTAACTTTGGTAGATCTTGTGATATGCATATTCTGATTTCTAGCATGCATATTTTTATCTGATATTTTAAAAAAGTATTTATGCATAAATATAAAGTTTCTGATAAGTTTTGATAAATGGAAAAAAAGAGGATTTGCCTCTATCCAAGCATGAGTGGAATCATGTTTGTGTATTTTAAAACTATTTATTCTATAAAATTATCTATAAAGTGTCAGTTTTTCAGTTTCTCTGTGCATAACAGACCTGCAGGAAATGCTGGCCGCCTAAACAGTCCTGGAAATATGTGTTTTCTCCTTTTCACAGAGCATGAAAAAAACCGCCTGTGCAAGAGTGCAGATTACATGAACCTGCACTTCAAGGTCAAGTGGCTGTACAACGAGTACTGCAAGGACCTGCCGTTCTTCAAGAGCAGAGTGCCTGAATATCCGGCGTGAGTAGCATCTTGTTTTGTAGAAACAGACGCATCCGGTGAAAAAGAATTCTAGAATATATTTTTGAAATGCTCGAATTTAGTTTGCAAATATCTAAATTGTTGCTCCCCATAGGTGGTTTGAGCCATTTGTCATCCAGTGGCTGGATGAAAATGAAGAAGTGTCTCGTGACTTTCTGCACGGTGCTTTGGAAAGAGACAAAAAAGATGGGGTAAACGTTTCCAGCTCCCTTCCTCCTTATCTCTCCTTCAGCCCTCTTGAAGCGCTGAGTCGCTGTTGTTATTCAAGCAGAATTATTGTAATCCATCCTTTGTACTTCCTCTGTCACACTCAGAGTTATCATACAAAGTTTCTTCCTCACTCCCGCCCCGCCTCCCACACGTTCTCCTGTCTCCCCTGCATTCTTCAAAGACTGAAATAGAAAGCATGGACTCAGCAGTGCAGATTCTTGGGAAGTTTTCAAAAAGAGTGCCTGTGACTTGCATATGCTTAAAGCCAAAGATGATTCTGTTACAGCAGGACATTGTAAATTAATGGCCTTATTCCAAAGGTTTGACTGCAGAAAAGCTGTCCTCAACTCATTACCCTGACTCCCTGGAGTAGCACCTACTCACCTCTAGCCAATTACCGGTAAGGACCAGGCGGTAACCAGCAGCCAATTACAAGGAGACAGACAGGAGCTCCCACCTGTCACCGGATGGCTGTCTAACTGTCTGTACAGCTGGCTCTGGGAGGTCAGAGTCTCTGTACAGGCAGTGAAATATATCAAAGGTCCAGTTTAATAAAGCATCTAATGGTCTGTCTGTATGGGCTTAGACGGGCACACAATCTCACCTGCAACCTTACTCATCCCCTTCTTGTGACTTTTTCTCCTTTAATTTTCCCCAGTTTTTAATCTTCCCGCGTATCTTTTCTGCCCCGCAGTTCCAGGTCACATCGGAGCATGCTCTGTTCTCCTGTTCGGTTGTGGATGTCTTTTCCCAGCTCAACCAGAGCTTTGAGATCATCAGGAAGTTAGAGTGCCCAGATCCGCAGATTGTAGGACACTACATGAAGCGCTTCGCCAAGGTAGGTGCAGTGAAAATGTCATTTGCAGGTTACAAAATAAAAATGCAAGACCGAGGTCTTCAATTTTTTTTCTGTACACGTTACAACATTTTTTATAATATTAGTAATAATAATAAGAACTTGGATTTGTATAGCGCCCTTTAAGAAACCCGAGGACACTTTACACAAGAGCAGAAAAAAAAATATTTCCTTGTAATTTCTCTTTTTCTCTTCTTTGTTGTTTTCTTCTCCAGACCATCAGCAATGTGCTTCTGTCCTATGCTGACATCATCTCCAAGCTGTTTGCCAACTATGTCACCATGGAGAAAGTGGTGAGTGGCCAAAGACATAATGACCCATTGTGGTTTTTCCACAGATGGTCTCATTTTATTCTGTTTGGCAAAAACCGAAAGCCAACTTTTGGAATAAACATATGTCCGCTTCTTTTTAGCCCTGCATCCTGATCAACAACATCCAGCAGCTGAGGGTTCAGCTGGAGAAGATGTTTGAAGCCATGGGTGGAAAAGATGTGAGTGACTCTTCTCCACTCGCAAACAGCCAAAACTTAGACTGTTTAATTATTCAGACATAGTTCCTAATCCTAGTATATCAGCCATGTGTTATTATTATCCTATCGCACAGCCGCCAGTCAACCCAAACAGCTGAGTGAGTTTGTGTGTTTTTATTGTGGCATTTTAGCTGTGTGTTGAAGCTAGTGATATCCTGAAAGACCTGCAAGTCAAACTCAACAATGTCATGGATGATCTCAGCAGGGTCTTTGCTGTCAGGTGGGAACACACTCACACATATTCATATGCAAATGAACGCTACAGATGCAGTCTCTTAAACGCTTCTCCCTTTCGTCCTCTGTAGTTTCCAGCCTCATATTGAGGAAAATGTTAAGCAGATGGGAGACATCTTGGCTCAGGTTAAGGGAACCTCAAATGTGGGAAATGCCAGCAGCGTGGCCCAGGATGCTGACAATGTCCTGCAGCCAATCATGGAGTTCCTGGACAGCAAGTGAGCCAATCTTTAGCTTAAAATGACTCCCTATTTGGAAGCAAGTTTCTTCTGACTGACTGCCTGATTGACTTGCAGATAGAAGGTTTGAACAGTAGGTGGGTTGGGTAACAATGCTCGTGGCTAGAGCTGGAGATATTCCTGCACAATAACATCATCAAGATGAAAGAGTAGAAAAAAACTGACCTTTAAAACACTCTGGAGACTGAGCTTTCATCTTTCAGGGATTACCAGTGAATACACTGATGTGATTATTTGAATCTTTGGCTTTGTTGATTGTGGGTATACGATATATGGATAAAAGTATTAGTCCGCATCTTTTAATCTTTGAATTTGGGTGTTTTCAGTCCCATTCCCAAAGGTGTACAGTGTACAATCCATCACCTAGCCGTGCACGCTGTCTTTACAAACATTTATGAATTAACGGTTTCTAAAGAGTTCACTGAATTTAACTGTGGTGCAATAATAGGATGCCACAACCACCCTTGTTTTTGTAGGAATGACTTGGAAACGTCCATGACTTTATTTGCCTGTGAATGAATGAAAAATATTGAAATTTCCCCAAATTTTCTGCTTTTCTGAGCGTTTTTTCCCTCGTGAAGGTATTTCTCTTTTTCATATTACCTCTTTTTCTTTTGATGATCCGATTTTTCTTCCGCTAGACTGTGTTTTTTTCCCCTCTGCTGCTTAATACTTACGTCTCCTTCTTACTTGTGTCTCTCCCTCCTCCTACCAGCCTGACTTTGTTTGCTAAGATCTGTGAAAAGACTGTGCTGAAACGTGTGTTGAAGGAGCTGTGGAAGCTGGTGATGAACACCATGGAGAAGACCATCGTTCTGCCACCGCTCACAGACCAAACGGTAAGAGCGCATAGAAGTATAAATGCACAAAAGAACATACAAACACACAAAATAGACATATTTAGAGATGTTTTCTTGGCTAATTTGTGTAGACGAAAGAGACATGTACACATATCCATCGCTATCATCTCTTTACAAAATGTTTAATGATTATTTGAAGTCCATGCGGATGTTTATAGCAACATAAATGAAGATATTACATGTTCACATGGTGACCCCTGCAGTATATAAGGCCTACACGTGCACAAGTACGCTCTACTTACACCTGTTACTGCCAAGGCAACATCAAAGGACAGAAAGAAAGAAGAAGGAGGTGGAGAACGAGAGAAGGGAAAACATTTTGTGTGTGTTGCAATCCAACATGGCCCATGCATAAGCAAAAAAAGATCAAACAGTTTTTGCATCACATCTACATCCTACCCTCTGCTCACCCCCCCTACACGCAGTATATGCAGCATTGCCCTGCAGGTGCCTTCGTTCATCCAAACAATCCAGACAAAACCCTTAAAAAGCAAAAGAAAAAAAAGGACTGCACCATATCATTCCTACACCAGCTCATGGCTGCTCTCCAGTATGTCAGTTGTTTGGAGAGATTCCTGATTTATGAGTAACTCACATCAGAGTTGCAGCAAAATGTTAGCCTAAAGGATCCGACCCACTTCTGAAAAGAATGATACATTTTGGAAAGCAGCCGCTCTTCTTTTGTTTGTTTTTGGTATATGTGTTATTTCTGTTTGGTTATTAACTAAAGAGCCTCATATCACTGATAATAAAGTGATAATCTGTGGTTACTGTGACCCTCAGTCACAGGACGCAGAGTTTAATGTGCGCCAAAGCTGCACGATCACACCCACAGCGACACTCTTCATGTGAAGCTGCTGAAAGTTAAACCTCGTATTTGCTTTATGAGCAAAGAGATGATGCTGTAACGAGTTAGCTTAGGTGTTATGGCTGCCCGCTCAGTTCTCTACCTGTGCTTAGTCCAGGCTCTAAACAGGTGTCAGTTGCTCCACGTCCCTCCAGGCCTGGGGCCCAAACTTGTGATTTTGATTGATGTGGGGCTCTTTGCAGCTTGACTGACCCTTCTCTCTGGTTGTTGTTGTTGTGATTACTATTACATCCTGCTCCCACCGCTCTCCCTCCACAGATGATTGTAAGTACAGCACTCCTGTGTGTTTGTCTGTCTGTCAGTCCACGGTGGTCAATTTCTCTGCTATATGTGGCTGCGATCTTCCCCTGTTTTTACCCCACATCACACCGTCTGCCTACCTCACCTCTTTGATCTGTCTCATGTCTCCTCTTTTCTCTTCTCTCCTCCAAGTCTGTCTCTCGTTTGAGAAGACAGGAGCATGGTGCATTCCTAACTAGTTCTAATAGGTCCCACCCCACCCCTCAGCAATCTTCACCAATTAGCCCCCTCTCCCTTTTCTGCTGTCTCTTCTTCATGAACGCTCTCCTCAAACAGGAAATGGTACTCCTCTCCTCTGTTGTGCCTGGGTTTGGCTTGTTTCTTCTCATGCATTGCGCCCTTTTATGGGGACCCCGGTGAGGTGACTGATCTCTCGGTAGCTTGGTATCTACTGTCCCGACCAAACTCCAGCACCCCTTTTCCCGCCCTTTCCAATCCTCTCACCCCACTGTCCCCACCTTTCCTACCTGTTTGAACTGTGTCCTGCCTTCCTACCCCCTACTGTGGGTTTGTTGCTTGCATCTGATCTATTTCAACACTGCAGTCTTCTCTCAGTATCCTGTACGACACTGTAGTGCACTGTATGTCTCTGCGGACCTGTCCTGTTGGTCTCTTCTGGTTTGGTTTCGTGTTCTGTTGTTGCTATAATTACTGTCATTGTGTTTTTATAAATAGTCTTGATGCTATTTCTTGGGTTTAGGTTGTGCAAACGAGGTACACGGTTTGTTTTCTTAATGTCTTAGGACCAAATATTTCACTTTCTGATGCTGACAGCCTAAAGATGTATGAAAACATTTACTTTAATGTCAAGTTATTCATTCTGATCTCTGGTAACTTCCAAGTTCACGTGACTGAGCGCCCTGTATTTTTCATGCAGGGAAAATGTTTGTGCGCTGTGATTGATAGCCAGAAAATGAATTTCTTATTGAGCATTTTAAAGAGAGTATGCATATGTTTCCCCTAGGTAAAATTTTTATTTTAACCAAGATGTCATATTACATTTCTTTAATGGAAACTATTACGTGCTAAGATACATTTAGATTTTTCCTTTTTTCATGCTTCCTGGCACTGTTTTTGCTTTGGATTGCATGCAAACAGGTTACGAGTGGCCTGGCTGAAATATCAGACCACATGCAAACAATATCTCTGCAATGATCATAAGTGAACAGAGTGCAGTCAAAGCATTTACTCTCATAATGTTGGATTGGCAATCGATCAAAAAAAGAAATAAACTGACGAGGGTTTTTCAACATTCGTTAACATTTTTAAAGCAACATCTGAGCTTTTGATTGCACGCTCTTATGCAGCCAGTGAGCGTGAAGTCAGACAGCAGGGACTGGCCACTGCTTGAAGTATTAACCACATGCTCTCTTTCCAGGGGAGGCTGAAGAGTGCTTCTCACAGCGATGTAAGGACTAAACCCCTTTAGATCAATGTGTCTTGTCTCTCTCCTCCACGTCTTCTCTCCATGTCTATGTCTCTCTCCCTCAGCTCCCAGTCAAACAAAGCAGTGGAAATATTGTTTTTTTTCACTATCTACATAGTGCTTTTTATAGTGTGCTGTAAACATACCTCTATTGGATGTAGACATTTGTGACTTAAACACAGAAAGTCAGTGTGTTCAGCAGTCACTTAATTTGACTCAGACCTGGCTGGCTATGTGCAAAAATCAAAGGGAAGCCAAGCTTGCAGGGTAAAAAAGTATATTCATCACAGCAGCCCCTGCAACCAAAGGCACATCTATCTGCACGACTTCTGACAGTTTAGCATAGAGTAACAGTGGAGGGATGCTGGATTATTCTTCCCTGTTGCTTCCCAACAGTTTCAGAAGTGCACTCTGTTATTTGCTAATAAAGCTCTTCCTGAAACTTTTATGCTATTCTTTTTTATTGCATTATTTGAAAGAATACTAAACTACAGTTGGTTTTGGTAAACTTTCAAAACCGTATTTGTAACCACAGTCAGCAGTACTTAGGATACATCCCCTTACAAGAGTACTGCATTAGGCTGGACCAATAAATACCAGCACACACCACGGTGAAACTTTATAGCTGCTAAATATGTGTGTGTGTGTGTGAGAGGGAAAGTGAGTGTGTCTGTGTGCATTTGAGTGCACAAATATGTCTATTTTCCTGCCCTTACTACGAGCTGAACCACTTTCCCTTCTCCTTGTAGTGTTTGTGTGTAATGTTTTGGAATGACTAAAAGACAGATAAGTGTGATAACAGCACTTGAAGGAAAATGTACCGTGACACCTGTAAAACGGTTCAGAGTGACTGTTTATGAATGTGTGTGTCAGAAACGTCGCTGTCCTCTGTGTGACACTAAACCATTTACCGCCGCCGCTGTTTTGTCACGATAATAACAACGCTCCTCTCTCTCTCTCTTTCTCTCTGCTTGTCTACCTTTCTTGTTCCTCCTTCTGCCTTTCTGTCTCTTCCAGGGCACTCAGCTCATCTTTAACGCTGCCAAGGAGCTCGGACAGCTGTCCAAGCTGAAGGTACAATATGTTTCTGCTACACTTACGCTCTGGGCCCGGCACCAGTGCTTCGAACTGAGTCTCTAATTGCTTAGAAAATATGTGGAAGAGCATATGAGGGGGACATATTGGTCATTTTGCTTTATGCCTCTCCCGCTGGCATCTTTAGGAGCACATGGTTCGTGAGGAGGCCAAAGCGCTAACACCCAAGCAGTGTGCTGTGATAGAGTTGGCTCTAGACACCATCAAGGTAGAGATTCACTTTCATTTTCAGTGATTAAACATTGAATATTCTCTTTATTATCAGTGCAAGCGTTTCAGGAAACAAGAATTCATAAATGTACAGTCTTAAAACCCAGAGTTTGGGACCGGGAAATGAGGGTTTTTTGTCCCTTTAGGATGAATTAATAACACATAATTTCACTCCCAAAGCATTTTCCCAAGATAACACAGGCACCCACATAGCACCAAATGTTAAAACGATTATTTAAAGCTCTACGGGGGCTCTAATTTGCACATCATAGAAGCGTTTTGAATTGTTATCTGCAGTTGTCAGTATTGACTGGTTTAGTGTTGGATTCATGTGTGACTGTGGGAATGTCAGGATTCGCTGATGATCACTCTGCTGTGTTTATAATTATTTGTTCCCTTTTATTTTTTCAGTCAGCTGCTGGTCAGAAAATGTTGGTAAAATGTGTTTGTTTGTTTTTTTCCCCCACCCTTTTATGTGACAGCAATATTTCCATGCTGGTGGTGTGGGTCTGAAGAAGACATTCCTGGAGAAGAGTCCTGACCTTCTGTCTCTCCACTACGCCCTGTCCCTTTACACGCAGGCCACAGACAAACTCATAAAGACCTTTGTCCAATCGCAGAACGCTCAAGGTAACGTACAAATCTATCTGTGTCTGAGGGGCTTTGAATTTGCTTTACCTTCCAGTATCTTCAGTTGTTAAGTATGAGCTTAACTACCTACAGCGTCTTACATAATTCTCTGAGGAAGGGAAATGTATTCCTTCTTCGCTCACACTCTCAGAGGAGCCCCTCTCGCTGCCCCCTCTGTTGATGTTAGGGTTTTCCCAAATGCCGAGTTTCTATACGCTCAAAGTATCTCACGTGCCTCGTAGAGCATAAAATTGAGACTGCAACAGCACAATATTTCTCACTGTTCTGAAATGCTGAGTCTCCTGATAGCGAGCTTCTGGAACTGCAGCCACTATTCTGTAGATGATCTGACAGCTATTTGCAATGAAAAAATAAATACCTACCCACTCTATTTTCCTTCTCTTTGATGCTGCTGCTCAGCCTCCGTCCTCCTGTCACATAGCTGTGTAACAGCCATCCCGTTTCTGCCATCAGACGCTCACACATAGTCCCCGAGCACTGGTAGAAATGCCATTTGAGTGGATAATCATTTCAAATTGAATTTTTTAACTAATGCCATGTGGCTTTTGATGTTGCAAGACACAGTTTTTTCACTGCAGATCAGAATAATGCTTATTTGGTAGAAGTAGCTCAATTTCCTCAACAAATCAGAGAAAATGCTTTTTACATGTTGGTCTGTTTTCTACTCTGTAATTGTGAAACTCTCTGCAAACCTCATATTTCTTCGTGTGTCTCCTTTCTCTGTCTACTCCCACCTCCTGCCCCGTCTGTGGGACAGTGTTCGGCGGGAAGGGGGTGAGATTCACCACTAGTGAGGATGTTTACCCAGAAAAGGGTATGTGGCACTCAGGCTGAGGCTCTGAGACACCAAGGACCACCAGAGAGCCTCCAGAACAAAGCCCAGCAACCTCCACCTTTTCACCCACCCCCACCCCCACCCCCCCATGTGCATCCTGAAACTCTCCTGCCTGCTCAGATTCATCCCAACAGACAAATGCAATGCACAGACTGAACACACTCTCTGCCTTTTTGAACACACATACATGCCCACCACCACAACAAGAATGGTAACTTTATGCATTCATGCATGAAACGTACACACTGATGTCTGTATGTACAGAACTGCGCTGAATACATACGCCGTGGACAGTATGTATGAGCAGACA